AAATATTTCACTGAAATTTCCAATCTTTTATTTCTTTCTTACGTTTCATGCCACCCTGTTCTCTGTGCTGTGGGTTACGGTGGTAGTGGCAACGCAGCTATTAGCCGAAGCCTCAGCGCTGGTTGGCTACTTTAGTCGCTTCTCACGACCGCGACCGAGGAGACTCCACAGAGCCAAAAGCACGCATCTCGGCGAGGTTCCCATTGGCTGTTACGCGGTTTTACCCGAGGAGGACAACGCGGCCACGACCATGACCACGACTCGCACGGCCACGGCCACAATGAGCGCTGGCAAGGCTCATTATTAATTTCCGAGCTCCGGAGGATTTGCGATGGATCGATACGTCCCCATTTGAAACCGTGGTAAATAATCGATTTATCGCAACATCAAGTTTATCGGTACTTCTCCACAGGTTTAAATGGCAGATCGATCGATACATCGCATAGCACACCACGTCACTGGGTTTTAGCCATTTTAGCAGGCCTCGCTACAATGGCCATTCAAAGCGGCCAATTCATGGCTCCGTTTATTCCCGCCTCGGTCTCCGTCGAGAGCCTTGCACTACTACCACCGTGCTCACGGAAAAGCGCCCTAAGAACACTCGGATTTTGCCAAATTTCTTCTCGTAAAACGCGTTTTTTTAAGGACAATTTTCGAATTTTTCTCATTCAATCTTTCGGAGAATTTGATTCGTATTGTCAAAAATCGTCACTGAAAATTTCAAGGAAAAACATTTATAAAATCCATTATAAATTAATAATTATTCGGAAGAAATTTGGCAATATTTGAATGCTCTTACGGTGATTTTCCTTGTTCCGCCGACTGTTTTCCAGTCGTGACGTCACCGCTCAGATTTTTCAGATAATTTTAATTCCGGCAATTACGTAAAATCTCCGAACGCTAGTATCTGGCACCCCGCGTTTACCCCTGAATATTCTTCATTTTTAGACCGTAGGGGTAGGCTACCATGCTAAAGAAGAACGCCGTGTATACATTCGAGAGTTGTCAAATTTCCCTCGATAAAATGTTTATTCTTGAGGAAAGTTATAAATATTTGTCCATTAAATTTTCAGAATCACTGGGGAAAAAAAAAAAAAAAAAAAAAAAAACACATTGGATGTAGAGTCCAGACTCTTGAAAACATTGACAAGAAAAAGGACTCTTGATTCTATCAGATTTAAGCTTAAATCAAAAGAAAATCCACTAAAATTAAGAGGCTTGGTTCTTGATTTAAGCTTAAATCTGATTGAATCAAGAGTCCATTTTCTTGCCATTTTGTTTTCAAGAGTCTGGACTCTAGATCCAATGTGTTTTTTTTTCAGTGATCTTCAGGTGAAATTGCGAACAAAATTATCTGAATAATTGGGAGGAAAATATTCATAAGTTTACCAAGAAATTTACGTTTTATCAAAAAAAATTTGGCATCGCCTGAAGGCTCATATACGACGTTCTTCCTCAGCGTGGCAAAAGGGCCCCTCTCTCCCTCTTTGGAGGCCTTGGGGGCCCGTCGATTTTGATTATTGCAGTTTTGATTAGAGACCCCCCCAAATTCTTCCCCAGGCCCATTTAAATATTTGATAACAATATTATTTTGAGGTTTCAGTGGCTTCGCCGTCACTTTAAAGACTTAATGTTTTAATTGTGAGTTCGCAGGAACCCACATTTTAGATAATCTTCCTGCATCAAGATATGCATCATTCGTGCCATTAGTGGATTGATACTTCACTCACATTGTTCTTCTATCGTTCCGATCAGTTCGCCTTCACTATTTCGATAGGCAATGTAAGCGACTTGGGAGCAGTAATAGTTGCTCGCAAGAATTCGGTTAAGTTCACATGGTTTCTTCATAAATGTAGCGACTTATTCCTTCTAATGACAAGAGACCCTCCACTGGCATATTGGCGACAGGTGGAAGCTTTTACTCTCGGGGATTCAACACTTCCTTATGGACGATTATAAGGGAGCAACTGTCATCTTATCTACTAGAAGAATGATGAGCTTTGAGTGATATCATGACCAAACTAATTTCCCAAACTTCGGATTGTTTGCCAAACGAAACTCCCGACACGTTGTTAACAGTGGCGTGGCGTGAATTGCGATGTATCGATTGTTATGCCATTTAAACCTATGGTAAAGAATCGATTACTAAGGTGTTCGCTCCGAACACCCTGTTTATCGATCCTTTTCCATAGGTTTAAATGGCATAACAAGCAATATATCGTAAAGCACGCCACGCCACTGGTTGTTAACCATCGAGCTAGTAGATAGGTCAACAGTTGAACGCTGAAGTCCCGAAAGTATAAGCTGTCACCATTGCCAAGATACCAGTGGAGGGTCTTTTGTCCCTGATACCTTCCCTCATATTGTTTCTCACTCATTCCGACTAGTTCGCCTTCAATATCTCGATAGGCAATGTCAGCGGTTTGGGAGCAGTAATAGTTGCTTGCAGCATTTCGGACACGTTCACTCGATTACCTATCGTGCCCTGATACCTATCGTATAAACGGTTTCTAAATCTCTTCTCTTTGTAAGAGTGAAAAGTGATGTGCCATTTCAGGCTCGGACTGGCCATAAGGCCAATCTGCCATGGGTAGATACGCCCCCTTTGCGCGCCAAAAACGCGCCCCTCTTACAGATATAAAATAAGAAGAAAAAAAATTACGACAGAATATGTGAGAAAAATTTCTTTAATGAACGGAAGAAGAGAGAATTAGGAGTAAAGAAAGGTGCTTCAACGCATGATAGGGGTGAACAGAGGTCCAAGAACTACTTTCTGAAGCTTAAACAATTTTCTGTGAAATTTTCACCTTCTTCTTGGCATACAGGCGCTTTATCATCCCCCTCCTTCATTCGCTATAAGTAACTCCCTTAGAAGCGATGGTCGGTTCGATTTTTAGACATACGCATCCTTTATAGGCCTCATAAGAGACCTTTAAACATATTTCTTCCTTTTCAAATGACTATTGATTTGGACCTACCATAGCATAGCTCGGGCAAACTTAACCTTAATTTATCTCGAAATTCAAAATTAAGACACATCTAAAATGTAAACGCGATACAACTATTCGCGCAAGATGGATGTCCACACTGCATACGAAAAATATAAGACGCGATGCCGTATGAGTCGTGAACTCGCAATGCTCTGCTCTAGTTTGAAGCAATATTACAAATAAGACAAACGCAAACGAACGCAATATGGAAATGAAGCGAGGGAAAGGATGCGCGTTAACGACGGCGCAGAGATACAACTATTCGTACTTGATGGACGTCCGTGCTGCATCTGAAAAATTGAAGGCGCGATGACGCGGACCGTGAGCACTCAATGCTCTGCTTTATGCTGTCAATGAAGCGTCGCTCTGATTCGGGAGAAGAGTTGAAAAAATGCCTGAAGACATCTCTCCTACCTTCGGCTGTATTACTCGGCTGTATTACTCACGTAGTGCTTGAAGCACCATTACGAATAAGACAAACGGAAACAAACACAATATGGAAAAAGAGGGAGAGAAAGGATGCGTGTTTACGACGGCACAGAGATACAACTATTCGTACTTGATGGACGTCCGTGCTGCATCTGAAAAATTGAAGGCGCGATGACGCGAAGCGTGAGCTCTCAATGCTGTGATTCACGTTCAATTTTGCAATTTTTCTCCGTGCGATCAATAAACATTGAACCTGAAAACAGCGTAAACTTGTGCTGATTTGCCAAAATTTTCTGAACCCCTCTCCACGTAGGGAATGCCCTACCAGGAAATATCACATTACGCCCCTTTAACCAGCCAAGGGTCTACGCCCTCAGATGCGAGCCAGTCCGACCCTGTGCCATTTTATAAACTAAAATTGAAGATTTTAAGATAATAACTTCTTATATTTCTTTTTTTCATTACTGGGCTGCTATGTTGAAACTGTTTGTTGAAACTGCAAAAATGCGTACCTCGGTTTGCGGCGTTGAATACTTCCTTTCATACTTAATTTTCTCCATGGAAAATTACCGACCGTCATTTTTAAAAAGTTTATCGATTTTCTTCTCTTACGGAAATTCGGTGAAAAATTCAAGCCAAGATGTTGGTTGGGTCTACTTTCAAAAAATAAAATTGTAGCGGATATTTCGAAACACCGCAACTGAGATACGCTCTTTTGCAGTTTCACCGGCAATGTATGTATAGGAGACTATTCTGCCGTGCCAAGGAAGAACGCCGTATGAAAATTCGAGAGTTTCCAAATTTCCTTGGATAAAATTTGTATTTTTGAGGAGAATCATAAATAATTTTCCTTGAAATTTTCAGACACTATAGATCGAATTACAAAAAAAATTATTTGAAAAATTGGCAGAGAAATATTCAAAAATTGTCCAGAAAATTCGTGATTTGCCAGAGAGAATTTGGCAACGCTTGAGGGTTCATACGGCGTTCTTCCTTAGCACAGCAGTATTGCCTTTTTGGGCGAAGATTTTTAGTAAGACTTCAAAAGGGCCGGGGTTGGAGACGGAAGTGGATATCCGCAACTGTGCGAAAATCAAAAGATGTGAAGAAGATGTCGCTTGCGCAGTCGTGAGGTCATTGGATATTTGCCGTTAGCACACTCCTTCATTTAGCGCTCTTTTCCTTGAAATAACGTAATAAAACGGAGGCGAAAGATCGTGAACTTACGTCAACGCGATACATAATACTAAAAGTAAAACTGAAAAAATGCTAGCTGTTTCCATTTCATCCACTTCCACCGTTGAGCGAGCAGAGCGGGGAGCGCGCAGGCGTACAGAGGGTAGAAAGAAAATCACAAGAAAGGCGAGCGAAAGAGAGGGGAAAAGAATCAGGAGGAACAGGTTTTCGAAGTAAACAGCCGCGAGAGTGTGTGTGCGTCGGCGTTGGTGGTAGTGCTCGGATGGTAAATGGCCTCTGGGATGTCTCGGGCACGGAGCCGAGGATAGCCGTGATCTTGGCAATGTGGTCGTAGCCGAACCCCCCACCACATTCTCCCTACCTGTAGAATCAACCTGCCTGCTTTTGAAGGTCTCTCACACAACGGAACGCAGTCGCAGGCCCGAGTAGTTGTCAGTCTCGCGCGCTAGCTTATTCTCAATTCCTTCATTTTGTGTCTTTTTCGCATTGAAACGCTTCTAAAAACAGTGCGCTTTTCTGAATCTCTTACTGTATTGTGCTCTACTGGTGATCCCCTATTTGTGAATGTGAATTTTTCCTTGACTCGACAACGCCACCGTTGAAAATTCTCGGATCGGTGGAATCGTGTCCTCCCAAGTGATTCGTGTCTGTTAAACGATGATTCTAAGAAATGGTTTTGCGCGTACTCGATGTATTTATAAACGTAGCGCGGTCTTCTTGATTGTCCACGGCATTTGATTATTGTTTAAATTGTGTGTTTTAGTACTTAATTACTTACTTTTTAGTTGCTGTGGAGCAACCTTCAACGCGTCCCGGCCGACCCTTGCTCTTCCGTCAGAGCAAGAAGGTTGAAATTATGTTCTTAGCCGTGAACGGTGTGTGATTCTCAGTGTTGTGCCTATTCTCTATTGGATTAATTCAAGATGCCGAAGATATTCTTGCTGAAGAACCGGCTCCTGCAGCAGCACCAGAATCTCTTTGAGAATCAGAAGTCTCCATCTCATGCAGATGATCAGCCTCTATCCTTGATCGTCAATAAAGCAACTGGTGAGTCTTGTTATGTTTCCTCGTAATGTTATAATGTCAGTGCTTAGCGAACATCAGTCGTTGCCGTTGTTTCGGCTTGCTCTTCCTTCTCGTTTAGTGGCACGATGTCAGAGAGTTCTGTGACAGAGGGGAGGAATTGATGCCTATTCTGATTTTGACATCTCTCGTGGCGCCATACTCGTATACCCCCGAATGAATACTTCTTTTGAGGTCTCGGCGAAAAATTCATTGCGCTTAGGAGTATCACCCGAGGGCCCCACAATGAGTCCCACGCAATTTTTTTTGGTTTAACTAATGCTGAATTCTGCATGGAGTCTCCTTGTGTTTTTTACCCTCCGCTCGCTCGTCGCGGTCATCGCATTTGTATCAGCCGAATTCCGAACCCTCTCTCAGTTATAATCTTATCAGGAAGTGTAGGTGGTGGGGAGAAAGCAAAGAAATGGACTACATTTTGCAATTAGGAGCTAAAAATTCAGGCCCAGTTTTAAAACAACGTATACACCATTTATTTCCCTGTGCTCATAAGTGGTCTTGCAGATGAGCCAGAAATTGTAGTTCCGAACCGCAAAATGCAGTCCAATTGTAAATCGCTTTCAGGCATTTCGTCCATCTTTTCATCGATTGACGGCGCGGCGCGTCGGTTTTTCACAGGCTGTTTTATACTGCACGAAATGAGCTCTCAAGACGATCTTTTCGAATTATCATTTTTGTACACCTCTGACGCACGACTCGCTGAGGAAACTTATTGGACTGGATGATTATCCGCCACAAATCACGGTACCACCATACATTTCGACGGTGAAACCGCCAAACCCCGTTTCTCGTCTGCGGTGTTGAAAATTCTCAGCTTCCATCTCATTTTCTTCAAGGAAAACAAATCAACATCATCCTTTGAATTTTTTCAGAATTTGCCTAGCGCAAAATTAAAAAATCGCCGACATTTTTGTGGACGCCCAGTAGTTCTTTAAAATGTCTTAAAAATTCCTTAAATTTACAATTTTTAAATTCTTTTAGGCAGTCTGTAACGTAGCAAAGTAAGTTGCGTGGTCTAAAGTTTCACCATCGATCTTTAATATGGGGGTGAGCCCGCAAGCTTAGGTATTGCTGGAATTTTTTTGGCGTGTTGGGAGGAACAGGGGGGGGGCATTCGCTTTTCACGGTAGGCTAGAGGTTCCATGGATCCCAATTTTTGGGGAGTGGGGGGCGGGGCCAATACCATCTCCCAATACCTGGCCATGGGTTTGAGGTTAAATGTTCGTAACTCCCGAAAACACACGGGATCGTATAGGGGAGGACTTATAAAAGTTGATTTTTTTACATGAGAAAGTGAATTTATTCTAGGCGTGGAANGCAGCAAGTGGTGCCGCGCAAAATTAAACATGATCGAATAATCGGCCCCTTAATTTACAAGAAAAGTAGTTCATACCCACCCGACCCCGTATTAGCAGATTTATGCCGACTGAAGCAAATAAATACATACGATCTTAAAATACCATCCCCTGAAAAATTGTTTTCTCGGATAATAATCGCTTGATTTGACCACGGTAAGTATTCAATTCCGCTGAACGACAAGTGCATCGTGGATAATTATTCACCTGTCGCTCCGCGAGGAATGAATGGAAGAACCCTCGGCCCTGCAGGGGGAGGAATCTGTAGTAAAGGCATGCGGCACCAGCGCTCACCCCTCGAATCGTCACGCGAGTGCCGAGGGTTGTAGCAACCGGTTTTCCACCCTTCACCTATGTTTCATTAGTCCGAAGCAAGTGCACCTTTGTTCCATCCTTTCAGTCAAAACGTCTTTAATTAATCATCCCCTTCTCTCCGTTAAAGGGCCCCAGCTCGCCATTCCTCGAAAAGATCGCGGAGGACCCTTTGAGTCCGTCGAACTGATATGGTGTTATTTCATACGGATTTAGAATAGATATGGAGGAACATAGGGCAGGGTTGCCAAAACTTCTTGATCACGCGATCGGTCACGTGTGAAAATGGGAAGACTCCATTGGCTGATCCAGCAATTTGGCAACTCCGGATTTCCTCCACTTAAACCTATGGAAATGTATCGATTCTTGAAGGGGCCAGGTGCTCCGATAATCGATTATTTAGCATAGGTTTACAGGGAGGATATTCGGTGTAGCCAAAATGCTGGATCCACCTCTGGATGACCTCCGAAATCGGGGTTTCAAAGTGGAAGACCGGGAAAAGCGCTTTTTTTTTTTGGTTTGTTTGTTGTTTAACTGCAGCGGTAAAAATTGCGCGTTTTTCTTGAAATTTCCTTAATAATCACGTGTTTTTTTTTTTTTTTTTTTTTTTTTTTTTGCTAAATCGTGGCAGTTCAAACACATAGAGCTGAAAAAAAGTTAGCTTTTTAAAATGTCTGCGGAAAACAGGTTTCTCAAATAGGAGGTCCAATTTGAGCAATGGAAAGGCTAAGAACTTTTTTCATCCCTGATATGAGATACACAGCTCAGATGATTCTAATTTTACTCCATTTTTGACCCTTTTTCCAAACCTGTTTCGCCTGAACCTCTAACCAAACCCAAATGAAAAACATCAGTACAGTTATCAAGGATACTAACGAGTTGGCAAAATTCAAAAAAATTGTCAGAGAACCGCACAAACAATAGTTGAAAGAGCGTATTTTTTACACTCACTTGCGCGTAGATTTTTATTATAAACGGACGCGTTTCGTCGGCGACACTCCTGCACACAGTGGATCGGGTTAAAAGGAAAGGTCGGACAAAATTTGGAGACTTTAAACGCTTATAACTCCGTTTACACAAATCCTTGAGGGTCCATAAGTGGCTCCATTGCTTTCCTCGTGAAATTTTCTTCCGTCAGCATTCTTTGAAAATTAAAATGTACCTAACGAAATGAACATTCATTTGCAGTTTTAGTTGAAAATTTCATGTCCGACCTCTCTAATCGACTCGAACCACTGTGCGGCATCCTTAGCGCGACTTTTCTGTAACTTTTTTCGCGCCCTCCTCCCCTCTCTCCACCCACCGCATCAATATGCACTTTTCTTCCATTTTTCATTGCGCAGCTACCAGATTGTTGAAAATGTCGGCACGACTAGAATCGAAAAACGTTATATTACACGGCGCAGATAGGGATTACATGTCTTGTCTTATCTTGCCAACATAGCCAGTCCAAGTTTCAACAATCAGGCTGCTTGTAAGTACGGTAGTGGGAAAATATCGTCAGAAGCTAATTTTAAGTGATCGTCAATCGTTGTGAGAACCGCAAACATGTCGCCAGTTTCTTCAACCACGAGGTCAAATCTACAAGACAGTAGGTGGTAGAACCGGCTTTCGGTACGCGTACACTGCAACATATATGCATTTGCAGTTAGTTTTCGTTCTTTCTTTGCCCAACGAAAGCAGTCGCTGCGGTCATTTTCACCGAATCTAATTAAGTAGCTTTCCGGTATGGAAACTCCGCTGCAACATTTTATAGCGGACGCTGTGCACAGGCGTTTTAACCTTCCAATTGCAAGTCACAAGTGGACTGCGTTAAGTAGAAAGGAACCCAGCCAAAGCAGCTGTTCTCAAATTTAATTGAGCAAATTAATTTCTTAAATGGTTGTGTAGATTTTTTTTGTGAATTTCGGTGAACTTTCTTCGAAAAACGAAGCAAAGTCCTTGAAATTCTCAAAAACATCTGCACAAGCGTTCCCTCATAGAAAAAAAAATTGCTCGGTTGAATTTGGTAATAGCTGATGTGGCTTGGTTCCTTTTCCCGCTTTTTATCGATAAAGTGTCTCATTTTTAGGAAAGTGGCCGATGAACCATTAAAAGATAGACAATTTGATTACTTAGTAGATAAAATTGCGGAAAATTCCCCGGAAAATTTGAAGAAAACAATTTGCAAGTTTTATAGTATGATATTGACAATTATCATCGAAAATTTAGGGGCCTACGCCATTTTATTCAAGCACGACTCTTTTTGTTCAAGAAAATCACTGGTCCAACTGCCGAACACGATGTTGTAATTTATTAGTGACGTCTTTTTAGCCGAAGCGATGACGACCATCGCCGCATTTAAAAGTATGAGTGTGTAAATGATGCCGGTCTTCTGCTTTAGGTTTTCTACCTATTCCACTTTTCTTCGACAAAGTCTTGGACGGTTTTCCAGGGAATTTTCTGTTCCACCAGACTAATTTTCCTTGAAACTCTGAAAATTCAGAAGGAACAAATTTTCATGCATTAAAATTTAATGAAGAAAGATGATAATGGCAGCTTAAATTTTTTTTACTCTTGTTCGTCTGCAGAGATAGAAATTCTAGATCACGCAGAAAAACTTCTGAGAAGAGCTATATTGTTTTATATAGAGTGAAAAAAATCGGAATTTGAGCTTTTTCTAGCGGTAAAACTCCCCAAGCATTCTACTTCAGCTGTAATCCGCAAGGGCGTAGTCAATTTTAGTACCAGTTGAAAGAATAAGGTCGCATTTTATTCCGGTGATTTTGAATCTCGGGCGCGGCAGATGGAATGTTCTTCTCACCTTCTCAACTTCGGTTCAGATCAACCTTTAAAGCAAGGCGGAAGACAATTTGTTGGTGACATACTCGTCCAGCCAGACAATGGTTTTATATCTTACTTAGTTATGATTTTTTTCAATACTTAGATCGCTTTTCCCTCGGATTGTCGCCTAGGACGTTTTTGAATAACGCGGCAGGAGCGAATGAGAATTATCAGTCCAGATTTAACGCGCAATGCGCGACCGGACAAATTTTGCATGTAGATGGACTCTGCGAGCACGCCTATATTCAAATCCGCCACGGTCCTGTGACACACGTCAAAGTTGGTGAAAATGATGGATCGTTCTGCTATTAATATTTTCCGGTTTCTTCCTTAAGGTCGGGAAACGTCACCCGTGAAAACTACTTGGCCTCATTTTCCGATTCAGAATGGCCACCCAAGTGATTTTCGATGAGTTCAACGCAACGGTTTCGTTGCAGACATTTGCATGTCTCTTGGTCCTTGCCGTTGACTCGGGCT